TCAATTCTACATTCGATCATTGGATTCCGATGGTGTATCTTTCAGTCTTTTTCAGAAAAAAATTTTTGGACATCCCAAGGGGGACCGTAGCCTTAAAATTTTCGAAAACTTTGAAAGTGAATTTTTCGAAAAACTGAAACGACAGTTTTGTTCAGAATTTAACGCTGATTCCAACCATGTAATCGCATTCTAAAATATTGGGTAACGCAAAATGACCTTATCCGCCCCCGTCCTTTTAATTGTATTCGTTCTTTGATTCTTTCGTGTAGGAGCACACAATAAAATCTAACACTTTCATTCGTTGTTCTTGAGGCACTGTCTAGTAGTTCCAAGAATTTATTCGAAGTTCACCTAACAGAGAATTGAATTTTCTACAAAACCTGCTATGAATCTTTGATCACATTTTCATTGCAACAAGCTTTTCTGGTCTCCTTGTTCGAGATTTTTAGCTCATTGTCTGAGATATTGACGGCTCTATAGCTTAAAAACTAAACACTGCTTCTTTCGAACATGAAATAAATGAAGCCAAAAAAAGTGTTCCTTTCCTTATTTTATTCATTAAATTGATAGTAAGTTTAGAGCGACAAAATAAACGCTCTCTACTTTCGATTACTTGTGGAATTAAAAACCTTTTGGGTAATTTTCTTAGATTAGGAGATTAGAACGCTTTAATACAAACAATATTGAATGTTTCAGCAGATGTTTTATTAGTTCTTTCAGATTCGCTACCTCAACTTTTGCTGCTTGCAAAATTTTTGATGATTCGTGTTTAACTTATAAAATGAAAACTCAAATTCATGTAGGTTTTATAAAACAAATCATTCTAATGGAAAACGTCGTAACTTTCAAGCTACAGCAAACTCAACTGGATCATTGTTCATATGCGAATGAGGATGTGAAGATTATTACATGTAAAAATATTCAAGTTCGATACAAGCTAAACAAATTTCATTATTTACATGACGAAAATATTATGGAAAAACTAGTGTATTTAACTGAACAGAGCACAGCGGGCAATTTTCACTAGGCACGTAGACTTTTGACCTGCAAGCTAGAGGAAAACTTAAAAGCGCGTTTTCTATAGGTAATCTTGTGTGCTCTATCTAATCAAGTCAAGTTTTCAAATTCTAAAAAGGTTTTCTAAGTGGCTTTACAGAGATCCTGTCTCTAGAAAACCACTTAGAAAACCATAAAAAGCTGCAAAACAATTGCATTGGAAAGAGAATCATCAATAACCTATTGCAATAGTGTTTAGACGATTTCGTCTGTTGATAATTTGAAATATTAAAATTTCAGTCAAAAATCCCTTTACGCACATGCACAAAACAAAGGAATCAACGAAATTCAAAATTTTCAGTACAAATAGGCTGAATTATACACCATTCGACGTAGTTTTTCCGCTGATTCCAAATATCTCGTTATTTTTTAATTTAAATGTTGATGAACCTAGAAAAACCTAATTTATTTTAAAAATCGAAGGCTTTTTGGAAAACCTATAACTCGGTCCAGGAGCGTTTGCGCTAGTTTGGACTATCAGTATATATGTGTCGTTAGTAGGTCTACCTTTGGTAAAAAATTCGTTGAATTCACAACTTACAGAAAATGATTTTCGTTTTCGTTGTTATGGTTTAATGAAGGTAATCGAGTTATCCACTTAAAGCTGATTTTGAAGTCATTTTCGTCTGAAAAACTTTTGATTTGTTAAGATAATGCACATGCTCTTTTATAAGCTGCTGTTCGATTTTTTCATGTTATTTTCGTCTAATAAAAAAATGAAATGAAAGCAAATTTCTTTAATAAAAGGACAGCTAGCTCTTCTTCTATTTACAAACTTCAGTTCAGTTGTTTTCTTGATATAATTCAAGAATCAGATCTTCATTGTCCTGTAGTGGCACCTAAAAATAAAGATATAAATGATTTTAGAAGCAATGATGAGAAAGGAAGTGCAAAGAAGTCACACTTACACTGAACACAGTAATTGCTATCAGTAACAACTTTCAATGTCCTTAAACCAAGTCGTCTTGCTGTTTTTAATGCTAACGAGGGCACCTCCTGAAGTGCTGGGAAGCCTTTTTGAATCGGACTATTTTTAAAATGTAGGCCCTCATGGG